CTGGCAGCACGGTGAGGAAGGCGCTGCGGAAGCTGTAGCCCATGGTGTTGGCGCCCAGGCAGATGTACATGCCGGCGTCATCCTGACGGGCGCGTGTGATGAGCAGCTTGTTGAGGTAGGAGCCGTCGGGCCGCGACCACACGTCGCCCGTGGGCAGCACCACAAACTTCTGGCCGCCCACGTCGATGGTGGAGTTGTAGCGGCCCTCGGCACCATACTCCACGCGCTTCAGCCACTGGATCACGGGCTTCACGTCACTGCGCACTTTGCACTGGAAGGATGTGGTGCCCCCGAAGTCCACCGTGGTGTTCACAGGATGCGTGCCCGTGAGGACCGGCTTGGAGCGTGTCCGCTCTGCAGGGAAACGGCATGTGGGCGCGTCCCTGGTCCCCGCTGGCCCCCCACCCCCGCCGGTCTCCAGCCCCCGCTGGCACTCACGGATCACGTCCACCTTGTAGGTGGCGTTGATGGCGCCCGCGCGGTTCGACACTCGGCACGTGTACTTGCCGCTGTCCTCGGGCCGCAGGTTCTTCAGGCTCAGCGTCCACTTCTTCCTGTGCTCGCCAGCCTCTGGGCGCGTCAGGGCCTGGTCATCCTTCATCCACATGATGTCCGGCCGCGGGTGCCCGCTGGCCACACACTTGAGACGCACAGAGCTGCCCACAGGCCGAGCGATCACCCGGCGCCTCATCTTAGAGGGCTGTGTGAAGCGGGGCCGGGCTGCAGGGTAGGGGCACAGAGGTCAGAGGGGCACAGGATGGAGGGTCCCCACCTGCACCCCAGGGGGACAGTGCTGTTGCGATGCTCACCCCACTGCTTGCTGGCTGGGTCCTCCTGGCCCCCGGAGGAGCCCTCGTGCCCTGGGCTCTCCCTGACTGGGCTGGTGTCCTCTGCAGACGGGGGGGGTGTAAGAGGGGCCCCAGAGCCCCCTACCCAGACCTGGGCTGGGACCCAGTCCCCAGTGTCTGGCCCAGCTGGGAAAGCTCTGGGAAAGCTCTAGAAAAGCAAGTGGAGGCCCATCGGCACACCCACATCTCAGAGTCCCAGAGACAGCTGGGCAGGGAGCCCGCCCAGCCCACTCCCAGGGTGCAGGTGACCCCAACAGGCACGGGGGGGGGGCAGAGACCTGAGAGCTGGCCCCCCACCCCGGCTCCGGGGGGTCTGCAGGCTGGGGGGAGGGGCAGCCCGGCGGCAGCTGCAGTAACCCTAACCCACATCAAGGGCCCGAGGGCTGGGTGAAGTGACATGGCCCGCATACCGCCCAGCCACCCGCCCTCCGCGAGGACAGTGGGGGGCACTCGCAGTGCTCCTGGTCCACAACCCAGAGAAGGCCCCTGTGGGGTGGGGCTTACTGAGGAATGCCCCTTCCCCAAGACAGCCTCCACCCAGCCCAGGACCAAGGCCAGACTGTCTCAGGCCCCCACCCGGGGAACCAGAGAAGGGGGAGTGTGGCTCAGGCTTCTTTGTGATGGACCAGCGTGCCCTGAGACCCACCCTGGGGATACCCCTTCCCCAAGGACCCCTCCCCAAAGGACGCACTGGCAGCAGGTGGGGAAGGGCTGGATGGCAATGCCAGGGACCAGAGAGTGCAGGGTGTGTCACGGGGACAACACCCATTCCCCAAGCCCAGGCCCCAGAGGCAGAAGAGAACAGAAGGTCCTTGGCTTCCCGCGGCCCCTCTGAACTTCGAAACCTGAGCCTCAAAGTCACCGCTGACACCCAGGCCACCAGCCTGCCTGGCACGCCCTTCAGTGGGACCACTGTCCTGAGCACAGATACCCACTCCTGCTGCCCCTGGCTGCCCCAGTTCCGGGTCAGCAGGACCTCGGGGAGGAAGGGTCCCTGAGGGCTAGGCCTGAGGAGGAGCCCAGGCTGGGGGTCAGGGTGGGAAGACTGACTCGGACAGAAGCCCCTGCCCCAGCCCCGAGGCCCTGCCCAGCCGTCACTGACCCATCACGATGAGGGTGTAGTTGACGCTGAGGCTGCCGAAGCCGTTGGTGGCCTTGCACACGTAGGCACCCGCGTCCTCCCGCTCCACCTCCTTCACCCGCAGCCCCTGGTGCAGCACGCGGAACCGGCTCCAGCCACCGTGGATCGTGCGGCCGTCCTTGGTCCACATGGTCAGCGGCGGTGGGTCCCCCTCCACGGGGCACTGTAGCCTGACGGTGCGGCCCAGCCGGGCCACCTGCCGTGGGACCACCTTGTCTGCCATCCTCGGGGGGCCTGCAGGCGGGGTCAGAGGCCCCGGTCAGGGAGGTGGTGGTACGAGAGCTGGGAGCTCGGGGAGGGGTGTCCCGGAGGGTCCCCACCCAGGACTCCACCCTGAGTCCCCTGCCCAGCACAAGCAATGGGGGCTGAGGCTCAGGGCCCTCCTCACAGAGCAAGGCTGGCATTTACCCAGGCCCACTGTGTGCCAGGCCCACATCCGCTGAGCACCAACTACACGCCATTGCAGAAATACCATCTGGCTGGAGTAGCTCACGGGGACACAAGCCCACAGGAGAGCAGGGTAGCTCCTGACTAGCCCCCACAGACAAGCCCAAGTGTCTGTGTGTGAAAGAGTTGTATGGCACCTGCTTGGCATCCCTGCGTCTGGAGGCCCATGTCTATGTGTGTGTGGACCCCATCTGCCTGGACAAGGGCCTCCCTGCTACCAGCCACACCCAACACGTAGCTTAACCCAAGGCCCTGGGGCCACAGGGCGAGTGGCTGGGTGCATGGGCCCCAAGTGAAGGGTTCCTGTCTGGTTGGCAGTCTGGGCCCACTGCAAACCATGGGAGAAGCCCGCGGTCCAGGCTGAGGCCGAGGCCATGGGCCCCTTACCAGCAGGAACAAACCCCCTCCCACTCCCACCAGCCCAGTCCTGCCTCAGGGCCTCTGAGTCACGTGCAAGCAGTGAGGTGACCAGGACTGGAGGGGACTGAGTGACTGACCGGCTGGGAATGACACTGCAGGTGTGAGAAAGGACAGGGGCCATCTCCTGGCCTGGGGCCATGGCTCCGAGCCTAGGGGTCTCTGCAGCCCCTGTGCAGTGGATGGCTGACCACAGGGTGCTGGGCTCTCATGCACAGTCCCCTTACCCACTAGGCCTCCAGACCCGAGGAGGTAGCCACGGGCACCCAGCCACCCCTCCCAGGCCCATGCTATGGCCACTCCAGGCCCAGAGGGCCAGCGTCCAGCGTCCTGGGCTCAAGGAGGTGCCAGGAGGTGGTGGCTGCTCCCAGCCACTATTAAGCAGGGCCCGAGGGCAGCATGTGTTTCTAATAATCAGCTAGTATTCCTTCAACATGCAATTACCAGCTGGTTACGTTGGGGACTTTGCAACCGGGGCCCCACATGCTTCTGTGGGTCCGTCAGACACTCAGGCAGCAGCTTCTCACTCATCCTTGCCCACCTCCCAGGGCACTGAGCCCCCCACCACCTCTGTCTGGGGGGAAAGGGAGGGGTGGGTGCCGTCCCCACTTACAGGGATAAGGGTCTCTGGGTTCCCAGTGGGGAGGGGCTCCTCCCAGCCCCACCCCCTCACCGTGCCTGGCGCACCCCACTCCACCAAGCCTACCCTGCCAAGATGCAAGCCCACCCCCTATCCTGCCTTGACTAGGGTCCCTCCCACCCACCACGTGGCTCCTGGACCCTGCGCCACAGCTCCAGGCCCCTGCACTCCCCACCATCCTCCTCTTCACCAGCTCCCACCCCCACCCTTGTCCCCGGGAAGGGACAAGAAGAGCAGAGGTGGCAGGGGTCTGAGATCCACCTCTCCCTAATTACTGAACTGTCTGTAGGGTCCCCCCAGGCACCCACCCAGCTCGAGTGGGAGGGGCTGCAGGGTCCACAGACAAGGTCCTTTCCTCATTCCCAGGCAGACCCTGTCAGCCACCTGTCACTGCCTGAAATTCCACCATTCACAGGGGCCTCCTGGCTGCAGGACAAAGAGGGTCCCCCCCCACGCCAGCCCGCCCAGTGCCCTGGGCTGCCAGGGCTGCCACCTGGGCACATGGACACACGGGACTGTGCAGAAGGTGCAGGGAAGGAGGACAGGGGCAGGCCTGAGGCAGTGTCATCCCCGTTGGGGGTTTGCCGGTCCCAACACTACCGGAGGAGCACAACAGGGGGCTGGTCCAACACCCCCATCCCCCAAAGGAGCCTGCTCAGTGGCAGAGAAAGGACTGTGTGCTGGGGGTCACCTCAAGCCCCGCCCCACCCCAGACAGAAGAGCTTGAGCAGTGGGGTGTCTACAGGGCAACAGCAGCTGATTTGTGCAGACGGAGAGGTCAGGATGCCCCTCGTCACTGCAGAGGGACAGAGCCAAGTGACTGCCAGACAGCAGGAAGTGTGGCCCCAGGGCAGCCCTTCAAGCGGTACAGGGGGACAGGCAGGCTGGAGCCAGTCTTATCCTAAAGCAAACAGCCCCTTCCCCCTCCCCAGCGGCCAGCCCGCCCGCCNCCCGGCAGGCTCACCGGAGGAAAGCCCTCCTCCCTCCACAGATTCCTGGGAATTTTGGCCGTCAGCATGACTGCTGCAGCTCTATATTTAGCCGGGAAACACAAGCCCCCATTGTGCACCTGGACAGGGCGTCCAACCCACTCAGCCATGGGAAACTGAGGCCATGGCTGAAGCCCGAGGGCACCTGCAGGGCGTGTGGAGGAGCGCCTGGCACGAAAGCCCAACAGCTTCCAGGCAGGGCCTGGGGGCCTTGGCCTCCTCCAGGGTCCCTCCCCCAGCCTCAGCCCCGTCCCTGTGAGTGCCTCCTCCAGGAAGCCCCCAACCCTGCACACAGCCTAAGCCGTAGCCTTGGGGAGTTCCGGGCACAGGCAAGATACGAGGGCCACGTGGAGGAACAGACATGGGGGTAAGCGGAGACGGGCAAGGTCTCACCCCTCAGCGAGGGCTGAACACTGAGATGGGGGCAGGGAGGGAGTCACTGCCCTCCTCTCTTCTCTCCTTCCTACTCCCCAGCTGTGAAAACAAGGCCAGGAACAGAGGTGCCAGGAGGGGCCAGCGTGCAGCAACCTGGAGGCCCCACACCCAGCCTACACAACCACGCTTCCCAGCTGCCACCCGGGGCTCAGGTGTAACACACAGATCCTGTCGCACTGTGGCCTAGACGCTGTCCCCCAGGTACACAGGCTGCCCCAGGCCCACGCCTTGTTCTCTGAATGCACTCTCTGCCCCACAGTCCCCCAGGTGTGCACTTGTACACACCCCCCCAGCAGTGGATGCAGACCCCTCACTGAGGGACACAACGCACCTCTGGGCGCCTGAGACCCCCAGGCCCACCCCCATCACCCACCTGGCTAGGTTTGGTAAAACAAGATCCCTCGGTAACCCCAGCGACACCCCTCGCCCCAGTGGGCCCAAGCAGGGCGGAAGGGGACAGGGCACTGGGATGGATGGAGAGGTGACACATGAGGGAGGGTGGGGACGGGACCTGCTGCAGCCAACCCCGTGCAGTGTCCAAGGCCCTGGCTCGGCACCACGTACCTCACTGACCACGCTGCCCTGGGCCTCAGCTCTGGACGCCCCACCTGATGACCTTCCTGACACCCCTCCCCCTCCCAGGCTCCCATAACTCATTTTGGGGGTGGCCTGCGCACAGTCCGTCAGGGGCCTGGCCCTGGGAGTATCGGCCTTGACCTCTTCCCCACTGCCGCAGGCAGTCTGTGGGCCCCAACCTGCTGACTGGAGCCCCCTTCAGAAGGACTGGACCAGGCGCCATCCTGCTTCTGGCGCAGCAGGGATAGCAGGTGCACCACCATCTCAGGCCTCACCCCACGCCTCCCCCGAGTCAGTTACTCCCACCCTCGTGGCCGCAGACACAGATGGGAATGAGGGTGTCCAGGGACCACCTGGCCAACTCATCAGGGCCGGCTCTGTCCCCAGCAAGCCCTGCAAAGTCCCAGAAATGTCCAGCCTGGAAAGAATTCCCTGGCGAGAAGTGGGTGGGCATCAGGCTACTCACACAAGAACTAGCCACGGGATGAAGGCACCACCAGGAGCCACTGACCTGCTGGGCCCCACCCCTCCTGGAGGAACTCAGTGGCCTGAGGTCAGCACGGCGGGACCTCGTCAGAGAGCAGGGAGGGGAGGCAGGTCCTAACCTGAACACCCTGTGCCGGGCGGGGTGGGTGGACACTCTCTGGGAGGGTGGGGGGACTTGTGCCCTCACCCCATCATGAGAGAGCGCTGGCACAGGGCTGAGCTGGGGAGGCCCACCCATGGTGGGCTCAAGAAGGTGAGACCTTGGGGGAAGGACAGGGACGCCCACAGGAGGGGGTACAGGTGATGCCACAACAGGGCCTGAGGAGCAGGGGCCAGGCGCTGCCAGGCCCCGAGCAGGCCAGGCACACGTACACACGCGCATGCACGCACACACCTGTTCATACTCACACAGGTTCCCCGTCACCGGGCGGCTCAGGGCGGCCCCGGGGGGCTGGACCCACAGGAGCCGTGGTGGAACTGGTAGGACCCGCAGGACAGGTGGTTGCCCCAGAAACCAGGCCATTCTGGGCGTGGCAAAGGCACAGCCTGACCCATCAAGCAAGCGAGCTGGCGGGATGTCCAGTCCCCCCTGCTGCCCAGCGCAGCACCAGGTGAGCGGACAGATCTGCTTCCACCCTGGGAAGTCCTCAGGTGGACCATGGGCAGAACCCTGGCCACAGGGATCCATCTCCTTGCCATCTCAGGGGGCATAGTCACCCCAATGGTGCCATTGCCCTAGGGGGTCCCCACATAAGTCATCAACAACTGATGGTGACCAGGGCAACACCCAGACTCACTGCCAGGTACCCATCCAGGGGGATCAGCTGCACATCGGCAGCCCCTGCCCCATGTTCAGATCTCGCCAGGTTCACTGGACTCCAAGCTGACCCCTCCACCCAGCAAGTCACCAACGCCACTCACCTAGAACTTGAGTCCCCATCACAGTCTCCCCAGAGGGGCCCCACCCCAGTTGTCAAGGAACCCAGAAGGCTCCTTCCATGGGAGCCTCCCTCAAATGCCAGCACTGGGCCCTGACCACCCGAGCACCCATGTCACCTTGGAAATATGATAAGGACGTGTCCTGAGCCTAGAAGCCCTGGGCCAGAGGTGGGGCTTTAGGCAGAACGGATGCTCAGCCTGCTGTGAGGGCTCCCACACTGGACAGCCTACCTCACCCAGCAGCCTGGGCTCGGGGTACCTCCAGGCCAGAGAACCCCTCACGCTCACCCACACCTGCTCCCACACCATGGCCCAGGGTTTACAGCAGGCTCCCCGAGGACAGGCCTGAGGCTGGGCCACCGAGCCCTCGAGGGGAATACGCATGTCAAACTGTGCGCGGCTCTGCTGGGCTCAACACTGCAGGGGCCCAAGGGGGTCACCGCAGGGGTCTGAGGCCAGGGCAGGGCACAGGGCCCTTCTCCCGCCTCTGCCGCACGCCCCGTGTTCGCTCCTTAGCCCCTCGCTCCCCAACACTCGGCCTGTGTAAACCTCTCACGAAATAAACTCACTAGGCAGGAAGAAAAGCAATTGTTTCCTGCCNCCATCCAGGGGGATCAGCTGCACATCGGCAGCCCCTGCCCCATGTTCAGATCTCGCCAGGTTCACTGGACTCCAAGCTGACCCCTCCACCCAGCAAGTCACCAACGCCACTCACCTAGAACTTGAGTCCCCATCACAGTCTCCCCAGAGGGGCCCCACCCCAGTTGTCAAGGAACCCAGAAGGCTCCTTCCATGGGAGCCTCCCTCAAATGCCAGCACTGGGCCCTGACCACCCGAGCACCCATGTCACCTTGGAAATATGATAAGGACGTGTCCTGAGCCTAGAAGCCCTGGGCCAGAGGTGGGGCTTTAGGCAGAACGGATGCTCAGCCTGCTGTGAGGGCTCCCACACTGGACAGCCTACCTCACCCAGCAGCCTGGGCTCGGGGTACCTCCAGGCCAGAGAACCCCTCACGCTCACCCCCACCTGCTCCCACACCATGGCCCAGGGTTTACAGCAGGCTCCCCGAGGACAGGCCTGAGGCTGGGCCACCGAGCCCTCGAGGGGAATACGCATGTCAAACTGTGCGCGGCTCTGCTGGGCTCAACACTGCAGGGGCCCAAGGGGGTCACCGCAGGGGTCTGAGGCCAGGGCAGGGCACAGGGCCCTTCTCCCGCCTCTGCCGCACGCCCCGTGTTCGCTCCTTAGCCCCTCGCTCCCCAACACTCGGCCTGTGTAAACCTCTCACGAAATAAACTCACTAGGCAGGAAGAAAAGCAATTGTTTCCTGCCGGGAGGGGAAGCCTGGGGATTCAGCAGCCCAGATGCTCACAGGAGCACCCTCCCTGCCACAGCTGCCTCCCCGATTCAGGGACAGCTCCTGGAAGCCCTGGCCCCGTGCTGGCTCTCCCCAGGGGGGCAGTCTCCCCTCCAGGTCCTGCCCCCAGCACCCAGAGGGGGCATGGAGTGTGGACTCCTTACTGAGGACAGGGGGCTGGGACAGGAGAAAAAGCCCCTCAGGACACTCC